AACCCAACCCCCCCCCCCCACTCAGGCCTCACCCTGGCATGGCGATACGCGCCATCTCTGAAATATATTCTTACCTCTTTCCCTTTTACAAATGTTGGCAGGTATGTTATATAATACTGTAACTTTTAAAATGTATTTGAATGATTGAAAAATAATACAGTACATGATGGAAACAAAACCGTTTCCATCATGAAATCTTTATTGAAGGAATGCTGTATCAGTTTTATACCAGTTAGGCAGGCTACAGACTTGCTTTTGAAGACAAAACTCATCATCCAGAATTTCGCACGCCCTCTATTTTTGCGATCATTGTTTTATTGCGAAGTAAAGCGCTGTACAGTATATACTGTACTCAAGTTGATAATTTGTATGTTACTGCAAAATGAGCAAGTTAATTTCAAAATTGTTTTATTTTGTAATTTTCAGGAGACAATACATCTTTAAGTTTACTATTAGGCTTTGGGAGCGAAGTTGATTTTAGATTTTCTTTTTAGTTTGGTAATTCAGGAGGTCCACTGGTAAATCTGGACGGTGAAGCTATCGGTATCAACACCATGAAAGTTACAGCTGGAATTTCTTTTGCCATACCAATCGATTATGCTTTAGATTTTATTGAAGAAAGCAAAAAAATAGTAAAAGGTAAGTGATATTTGTATGCTACAATACTTAATAACATAAATGCAGGTAACACTTTTATACAAACCTCTTTTCTTGTTGTAAAATGTACCAAAGCATGAAAATTATCTCCAAAAATTTCTTTTTCAAGAAATGCATTCAAAAGTAAGACAACAACTCTCTAATTTTAGTGGAGTAGGCCTATTTAAATTATTGGTATAAAGCCATTTAAAAACAACTGATCAATAATATGAATAGATTAATAAAATTAATATTGATTAGTAATTGGTTAGTAATATTTGTTAGTAATTGGTTTACAGACTGTTGGTTTAGTATTATTGTTTAGTAATATTGTAGGAGTGATGTTTTGCCCTACCTGACGTATTATCGTACCGAATACTCAGTACGTTCCCAATTACTAGCGAAAAAAATTTGTGGGTGATTGGGGTGGGGGTGAAATCGAACCCACGACCTCAAGATAACAGGCATGGCCCCATAACCACTAGACTACTAAGCTTGTGCTTAGTGACCATTGTTGAATCTGATCCCCAAGTAGGAGCGGATACTGCAAACTCTTGTATGATGTGAGTTTGTGTCAGAAAAATATCATAGTAGTGATATTTTGTCCTACCTGACTTATTATCGTACCAAATACTCAGTACGTCCCCAAAAAAACATCACTCACCTATGTTATTTTCCTGATGCAAACTCACATTGTATTGGTAATATTGGTTAGTAATTGATTAGTAATATTGGTTAGTTAGTAATTGGTTAGTAATGTTGATTAGTAATTGATTAGTAAAATGCTGTATTAGTATTATTAATTAGTAATATTGCTTAGTAACAGTGGCGGAGTATTGGTATATCTAGGATGTGCGGGGGCATGCACACGCCCCCCCCCCCAAATAAAAAATACTCGCCCATCCCTCAGTCGCGTCCCCTCACAAATCATGCTCAAGTAATTAAAAATCACCTCAAATTACCTTATTTTGCGAGTTAGCTCCCCCTCACCTATAATCACCGATCCCCCACGTAATCACCGATCCCCCACCTTCCTACCCCCATCAGCTCCTTTCCATTTTAAGAACCTACAGTACGCCACATGCTAGGGCCTGCTCTAATAGGAAAAGTTTGTAAGCCTAATCAGATTGCGTTCTATAGTCAAAATACAAATGTACTGGTATGTTATTTTTAATACCGGCATGGTTGTAGTATCTTCTCTTCAAAAGAATTCCTATTCCTGTATTTTAACAAATTTCAATTCAAATAATCATAATTTCTTCTATATGTATGCAAATTTATTTAAACTTTACTCATTGAGATTAGGCCTATAGATAGAATACGCGATTGGCAGTGGAGGTCCCGATTTGTGGGAAGAAGAGCATGCGCTCATACTCTGGAAGCACTGCTTTCATTCCAGTGTTAAATTGGCTATTCTGACGCCATCACACGGTTGTCACAATAGCAAAATTTAAGCGTTGTAGGGTGTGCCCTGACTCCCATTGACTCACTGAATACCTGATTGCCTGATATTGAAAACAGGCAATGCGGAATTTCTAAGCAGCTGAGAGTACAATGTGATAGGCCCGGCTGTGACTTATCCCAAATACCAAAGTAGGCCAAACATTGAAAAACTTTGCTATTCCAAAGAACTCTAGCAATCCACTCGAAAAATTAAGGTTTATATAGAAGATTCTAACTAAGAAACGCTAAATAAAACAGAAACTGTACTACAGTACTATATTCTTTTTATTTGTTTAGTCAGGGTATGCACTGCATATCTTGCTTGCCTTGACGGTCCACCACTGGTTAGTAATATTGGTTAGTAAGTAAGTACTGTAAGTAACTTTATTGCTTCTCTTTTATAACAGAGGCACAACCGTAAAGATGTGCAACAATAACAAAATCAGTAAAAACTTAATTACTGTGATAAAATATAGTAAGAAAATACTGCGGTAGAATGAAATGTATATAAAAAAGGGTTTACAAAAATAGTAATAGAGATAAATACTAATACTAATAATATAAAGTAAGTAGGTTAATACATACACTTATACACACACATATATACATACATACATACATATACATATACATACACAAACACATACATATACATATATACATATAACAGAGTCAATATTGTAAATTTAATTCAATATCATTAGCAAACCAGACATATTAGTCTTGCAATAGAAAAGTTATATATATTTCCTTTCATTCTTTCCATGCCATCGTTAAAAGTAATTTACAATGATTATCGAAAACTTTACTCGCAATAGTATAATTAATAGGGTTTATACAATTTGTTGTTAAAATTTGATAGTAATTTGTTAGTAATATTGATTAGTAATTTGTTAGTAAAATAATAGTAATTAGTTAGTAATATTGGTTAGTAATTGGTTAGTAATATTGGTTAGTAATTGGGTAATATTATTGGTTAGTTCATTCTAAATGGTAACAATCCTAATCACAAGGTTGTTATCAGGATATTGCAGTTTCTTTCAATATGTTTTTTTAATCAAATAAAGCTGTTTTATTGATAAGGTATTGTACCTAATGAATAATGATTTAGCTGTACGAATAATTATCATCATCTCCTTGATGTCACTAATAATGAAACAATAATATTCATTAATTACACAATCAATAATATCACAATTTATTACATTACAATTTTGAAAATTCTGATGATGAATATATTAAATCTTACAATAATATATTTGGATATTGTTGTTTTCCTTTTATAATTAAATGCTTCTCTTTATAATACTTTGTATGTATTCATATTATAAAGCCATCTTTGACTCAATTGTGCTAAAAGAGCTACCCTCATAAAAGAAATTGAATAAATAATAAATAGATTTTAATGTTCAAACAAGTTTATTTAAATATGAATATTTTTATTAAAAGTGAGTGAAATACATTTAAAAAGATTTAAATTTATTTCCATTGGAAAAACGTCAGAATACTATAGTGTAAAAGATTATGAAATCACAAATAGGTAAGGGTAGGTAAATGTAGGAAAAAAACCCATAACTTGCAGCGTTATTTTGCTGAATTGCATATGGCCGTAGTCCATGACTACCTAGTGTCTGTGAAGAGGCATTTATACTAGCTACATGTTCACATTGGGGTAACCCCTTACTCTTCCGAAAGATGCAATGAGGTCTTTAAAGTGCGCACAAAGCAGATATATACACTGGGCCGCCATTTTAAGTCCTTATCCGCGAAGACTTGAACCCTGGATGAGGAGCGGCTCAAACCGGTTATAACGACAAAGAAATGGATGGTGTTTGATTATTGGTAGCAAGTATTCAACATAACTAGGAGGACATAAATTGCTTTAACCAAGAATAAATATACAGTACAATAACTACTAATTATAGTGCATTCAACAGGAAAAACTATTGTATTTTTTTATTTATCAGGTCAAATAGGTTGAAGGAATAACATTTTGATCAATAAATGGATCTGTTCTTGCGTATATAGTTCTCAAAAGAACTGTTTTTTCTTTGTTGTGATACTATCAAACTCTCTTTTCAAAATGTGGTGTGTCAATAGTTATTATTATTGGTTCCTGCTGTAAAGTAATAGAAACTTTTGCAATGGCCTGGATGTGTTCATGCATCTGTGAGGCTGAAATCATCAGATTTGTTGAAAGTTTGTAAACAATCTTGAATTTTCAAACATCTGTTGGTTATAATTTTGCATACATTGTAATTGTGCCTGATTTGCTTGAAAACATTTTTGGATAAATTTTAAAACAATACACAAGAATTTTATTACCCTGTTCATCTAAAACTTGCAATATTCTAGCATCAATGGTACAATCTATTTTGATAAAAAAACACAGATAAAATTGCCTGAGCCCTTCTAATGATAATTGGATACTAGGAAATTGTACCCAAAACAGCAACAACTATCAGTTTAGATTAGAGAACATTAAAGAAGACATTATCAGAGTTCCTTACATGGTGTATATTTTGAGCTCTCTCTAAAGAAAAGTCCTGAGTAAATTAAGATCCAGCCCTCACTATTATAGCTGCCATAGGTCCCTCGATCTCCCTGGTTATGTTTCTTTCCTTAACTTTATTTACATCATTACAAATTACCAAGGGCTACATAGGAACCTCAGCTCTTGCTGAGGTGTGATTATTGTTACTTTGCCATGGAAACTTTTAAACATTATTTTGGTTCAATTCTGTTTTATAACAAATACATTTAATGATGTATCAGTATAATAATAATACTTTTACAAGGGTAAACATAATAGAATATAATTTACAATATAATTTACAGTATAAGACTATGCAAATTTATTTATAATCTGTATAGTTAGTTTAATACAAAATATAGCAATATTTGAAAGGCCTATATTTATGGCTTGTGTAAACTAAAAAACAAAATTAAAGAAAGTGCATTTTTACAGTTAAAATAACCTTATTTGTCAATAGCCTTAATAACATGAACAAAAACAAAATTGAAGTGCCAAGACAAAAAGTAAACCTTATGAACACTAAGGGTCTTATTAAAAAAGACAGGTTTTTTTTTGTGTACGTTTCCTAGGGAAAACTCAAAATTTAAGATTAATTTTAAAATATATAGAAAGAATGAAAAGAAGTAAACAATAAACAATAACACACACTTAAACTAACCTACCAGTAAGTGCATTAAAGTAAAAAGATAAATCAGTGTTTGAAATGATATAAATAATATATAAATAGTAATATAAACGCAAAAATCAAAATACTGTACAGTATGTGCTTCACATCCCAATTAATAATAAAAATATTTATAATAACTGTATAATTATTTGTTTCTTTGCAGCAGGATCCCAGTCTACAGGCTGGTTTAGTAGTAACAAACCCCAGGCTGTTAAAGGGTCCCAGAAGTATTACTTGGGCATCACTATGCTGTCCTTAACACAGCAGATTATAATTGAACTAAAGCAACGATCACCAGATTTTCCAGATATTCAGTATGGAGTTCTTGTTTATGGCGTCACCCAAGGATCACCTGCCCACAGGTAAACAATATTAAAACTACAGCAGTCACTCCATAGAGTACTTACCTCCACCCAACAATAAGCATGCTGTGTATGGTAGGCGAAACTGCAGCATACCCTCAAGAAAATAATGGAATAGCCTGTTGCCCATTATTTTCTTGAGTGCTGCCTGAATATGAGGGGCGATATTCTTTTATGCTTGAGGGTAAATATGTAAATTTGTGTGACCTTTGGCCTTTTCTTGCCATCCTCCTTATTATGTACCATTCCAATAGATTTTATGATGATCCATTTAATAGTGTTTGCGTAATCTTGCAAGCAGACAGACAGGCAGGTAAACAGCCCCACAGACAGACAGGAGTCTCCTTGGTGGAGGTACTGTAATTAGTATTCTTTAGATGCTACCATTTTACAATAATCGATATGGATTTGATTCATGTTGATGTAAAATTAGGAGGAGAACCTGTAACTCGCAGCTTTGTGGTGCTGTTGCATATGATGGACATGGTTCGTGACTACTGTAGCTTCATGTTCACATAGTAGCTTCATGTTCACATCATTCCACAACGACAGGGGATGAAGTGAACCTCAGTGTGACCTCCTACTGTACTCTTCCGAAATATGTAATGGGTTCTTTAAAGTGCACATGAGCCAGAGAGATGTGTACACTGGACATCCATTTCAAGTCCTTATCCAAGAAAACTTGGTTCTACCAACCAAACTCAGGACAAGGAGTGGCTCAAACCAGCCTTGATGTTAAAGCTGTAATTAGCAGCGTTGTCTTACCGTTCGATTACTCATCCAGTGGTGGTGCCAAAGATTTGCCAACGAGGGGTCTGACAGAGGTGTCCAAACCAAGGGGCCGGCCTGGAATTAAAAAATCTCTGGTAGGGTTCACAGGAAGAGTTTTTATGTCTTATTATGCTCCAAAATGTGCTCTTAGACCACAATATTAGGGATTGGCAATCAAAATACGGTTATTTGGATAGGAGACAGTATTTAAAAAAAAAATTTTGATCCAATGACCTAGTTGTTCATAGAATGACAGGAGGTGGGGGGGGGGTCCAGGCTGGTCCAACATTAAGAAACCAACATTAAGAAAATTCCCCCAGCCCCGCCCGCTGATGCCACCACTGTATTCTGCTTTCGGTGCCTTAAGAGTTTGACAAATTCTCATTTAACTTGCAGAAGTGGCTTGAAACCTGGTGATATTATTACACACATTGATAAGCAAGAGATCAAATCTTCAAAGGAAGTATATAGTGCTGTGAAGAGTGAAAATCAGCTAAGGATCTCGGTCGTTCGAGGTCAAAAGGTCATGCAATTAACAGTTACGCCTGAAATTATTTAATTGAGAAAGTGCAGCAATGCCCATAAATATGGTGAAGCAAATGGCGCACTATATTGTTAAACTTCTTGTTTTAATATTCTAAATATATTAGTAGAATATCAATTAATATTGAAGCAATATTTGAATAAACTTGTTTTGAAATTCATTTGTAATAGATTAAAAACTTTGGCAATGGATGAGATCTAGAAAAAGCCACAGTACATATTAGGTGCAAAAAGTAAACACAAAGATTGTATGGAGAAAATGCAAAAGATTGGCTGAATTCAAAAGAAGGAGCGTGTGGTGCAGTGTATAAGTCAAATACATCATCATAAATCATCCACCTCCTCCTAGCTACCCATTTATACCCCTGTGTGAAGAGAGGCAAATATAGATACCTGAAAATTGTCCTGCCCAAGACACAGGCAGTGTGATAGTGATGGCTGTCGAACTCATTGGATTGAAAGCTCAAGCCTTACACGCTGTGACAAAGCCAAAGTGTAATACAGTGACACTAAAAACTTGAAATGGGGTGGGGAGTAATGGGACGTACTAATAATGAAGTGGGAAGCAATGATTAAATGGGGGGCGCTACCTTGCAAAATATGGTTGATATGAGGTGATATTTAATGAATGCTATCTGTTTAGACCGCGGACCAGTTTGGTTGCGATGTACAGTACTTAATATCTATAAAAATTGAAATTGAGGCTTTGTTCACATACGGCAGCTACGGTTAGCAGGATCCGGATTACAAACATGATGCGCTCACCCGTTTGTTCATACAAGAAATCTCCGATCTAGATAACAAGAAGATGATGATCGGATCAGTGATCAATAGGGAATGGGAAATTGCAAATGATTGGTTAGTGATAGAAACTTGCAACCGAAAGCACTCGCTGACCGTTAGCGTATACGGATCCTGGTAACGGTTGGCACTAACTGATTGGGCTTCTCACACATTTGCTAAGGGTTAGCGCTAATGGTTAGCTCCCGATCCGGAGCTCTTGTGTGAACCTGATATTAGTGTCTGTTTTTATTAATTACTAATAAAATATTTACTATTCTTACTCTTTACAAATAAATAGGCTTATAATATCAGTTACCAGTGAGAATTTTAAGTTTGTTAAACTTTGAATTTAAGCTCATTTCTTGTATGTTATGTCTGCCTAGGCTTCCCTTGTCAGATTGACATAAATAAAAGCATGGTTTTGCTTTCTCAACATTCTCTTTATTACAGGACACATTTATCAGTATTAGGTTATACTCAGTAATTCACTTAAACTGACTGAAAACCTACGAAATGTGTTCCATACATCGCGGCCGAACTTGTTCACTGCCGAAACGGTGCTACACTTGTTTTTTTTTTTCTTTGAACATTTGCAATGAGGTTGATTAGGGGCCGGGTGTTTTGTGCGCCGGGTGTTTTGTGTGCCAATTCAGTAATATGCCTGTACTCTTTCACAGTGTGGTTTGGTTTTCTGGCTAAAGGGCAATCTGAATAAAGCGTTCTTGTAAAGCGTTCTTGTATTCTTTTACTTTTATTGATTGTTGAATTTTTCTTGTCTTGTATTGTATTATTGTATGTTTATGTCAGTGTAAAACCCACTAATAATAATGTTTGATGTTTTACGAGAGTGTAAAATGCATGGTTCGGTATATTTTAGATTATGAGGTACGTGAAACATTGTTATTCGAATGTCTGTCGCTTATGATAACAGTTAAATCTTTTATTGATTTTATGCTGTATTAATGTATTTTTGTGGGCTAGAAAAAAAACCCCTATTGTATCAGGGTAAGCTTATAATTGCCGTATTATTGATCGTCTCTTTTCATTCCGCAAAATGATAAAAGTGTTCTTGTATTCTAAGTTTACTTTTATTGATTGATGAATTTTCTCTTCTGTCTTGTATTATTGTACGTTTATGTCAGTGTAAAACCCATTAAGGAATGTTTGAGGTTTTACGAAAGTGTAAAATGCGTGGTTCAGTATATTTTAGGTCAGCGTTCTGCAAACTTTTTACTTCGTGGCCTACTTATGATCCCTGGCACCAAGACGCGGCCCAGTCGTACCAGGAGCCAAACCTTTTTTTTAATTTTTTTTTTTTATTCATCTATTCATCTTCAAAAAACATGACAAAGACATTCAAGGCAAAAGGAAAAGAACAGTAAAACATTAGTCATTCCTTATTTATAACATTCTCATTTCATTTTTAACAAATCATTTTTTCTCTTGTAGATATCATTCTAAATCTGTGGAAGTACCTTATTTTAATTTAACGTTAAACACAATAGTAGTAGGTATAACCTCCTTTACTTTAAACAGAAAAACATTAGAAATGAGTATACAAGGTAGAGGTACGTGGATTATTTGCACAATTTCAGTTAAAATTCAAGCCCATAACAATGTTTAATTTATAGCAAGTTAGAATCTAAACACTCAATCAACAGAAGATACAAAATATTTTCAGTGTTGCTCCCGCAAAAAGTATACTAAGATGATTTATGAAACATATGCAAAAAACCAGACAAACTTTAAATGGGAAGGAGTACAGTATATGGAATTAAATTATTATTTTGAAAGAATTCAGAAAAGGTTTCAGTAATAGCTTTCTTTTAACTAAGAATACAAGGCCTTTTTTTGGGAAAGGGGGGGGGGGTCTCATTCAACCATTCAACCTACCATTATCTATAGGTTATGAGGTGAAACACGGCTATTCGAATGTCTGTGGCTTATGTTATAGTTTTCATATCACTGTAGGCCTATTGCATTATAAGTTATTCTTTAATTGATTTTATGCTGCATTACTGTATTTTTGTAGGCTAGAAAAATAAATAAACCCTATTGTATCAGGTTATGCTTATCATTGCCGTATTATAAATCGTCTATTTCCATTTTGCAAAATGATACTTGTTTACCCAATTGGTGTTCCGACGAAATTAGAATTAGAAAATTCTGACGAAATTAGAATTAAAAACACAAAAATATTTTGCGCGCTTCGCGCGCATTTTTTAGAGCTTTTAGGTTTATCCTTTGAAGTTATTTAAACACATAAGCCTAAAAATAGTCCCAAACTCAAGGAATACAAATTTAGGATAGATCGTTTTAACCAAAAAGAAGGGCCTCAATATGTATTGATGGTGAAAGAATATGTTTGTAATAAATAAAACCATGATGAAAATGCTTATATTTAGTTTCAAACACACGTGTGTGGCCTATATTGTAAATAAGATAAGCCCTATGTCGTATTGTTTATTATATGGGGAGTGGGGTTAGGTGGGTATGGTAAATTACTAACCGGGAAAATAAATACCCACTCTGACCCAAGACCCACGCGCCTGGTGTTGGCGCAAATGTGTGCCCTTGTACGGACAGGGGATGTGCCCCCCTCTGAAGCTGGAATTCTTGTTTTTGCAAAATAAATTGATGCAGTTTGTTATTATAGGCCTAATCAATAAATTTCTCATCAACCGATATAAACTAAAACATTCTTTGAATTGACATAACATTACTGATGTTGTACACACCCTTGAATGTGAAATGTGGCTCTCTTTGCCAGCACATCTAACATCTAAGGAAAGAAGAGCTTAGATTGGTACCAGATAAAATAACTTTGTTATCAACATTAATACATTATGCTAATTTTCATCTTTGTAAGCGCATACGACAGTGCAAATTATTTCTGTGACAGTCTTTTGAAGTGTATAAAACTCCATTTTATCCCATACATAGTCAAAATATTGAGGGGGATGATACAGTGGACCATCCCTCCCTTGTCAAATATTGGGGGTGATATATCCCCCATCCCCCGGGACCTACGCCTATGATCCACAGTCCCAAGATTCATTGGATTATTGAGGGGCCGTTTATTCAAATTAGAAGGGGCGCTTAAGTAAATTTTCACGTTCGCTTATTCAAACGGGGTGCTTAATCGCGCGAGTACGTTCTTCAGGAAATTTGCGATACCATTATAAAACTTAGGTGAAAATGTAATATCTGTTCATGTTGATATCGGTGTCACCGTTGTAGTAAATCACACCGTGGGGAGGCTATGCTTTAGCTGCGCAGTGTAAAAGGAGCATTTCCAGTTATCAATAGGCCTATGTCATTTTGCATGACTGTATGTGCTGGATATTTTTTTTATATTATTGTACAGTACATACTTAGATATCCACTTTGGCGGATAAGAAATCAAACGGGCTATAAAGTATATAAAGCATTCTTCCTTTAAACATTCTTAACCTCCATCATTTAATGTTTAAATATCTAAAAGGTAGACCCCACTGTGTACTTCTATCCATTTTCGAAACTCAAATTGGATCGGAGTATAAGAGGAGATTGCTGCCTCAACCCAGCATCATACATTATCACACGTTCCTTGCAGAGGGCCGCCTTTTTTTGTTAAATAATAAAAAAAAAAACAATATTAAAGTAATTGAATTCCATGCACACACCATTTTATACTATTTCAAAATGTGCTAATCTGTTTTGCTTATCCTGTAACGTTAGGGTTGGGGTGGGGGCGGTTGGGGGAGATTGTTTTGGTAATTTTAAATATTTGTTGACATAGGCCTACACGCAGATCTATGCATGACGTTTGCTTTTAAAAGTTTGATTTTGATATAAAAGTCAGAATTTCATACGATTCCTATGATTATTTGCGACTAAATTTTTAGTGCTCAAATGTTGTCACTTGATATTCTTCCTGACAACAACCCATGTGAAATGCCTTATATATAGGCCTACTATGCCGCTTCTGTTTCCAGCAGCGACGCATGAACTTCAAAAATATTTTCATTAAGCCCTATTTCTGAATATCTTCACGCACGGCTTTTATACGTCTGTCTTTTGTTCATTTTATTTCCACCGTCGTTTGATTAGTTTAAATATTTGTTTGACATACTAGTGAATACATGTGTGTAAATTGCCATTATTTTCGTTCGCTGAGGTATAATGGGCTTACACCTATGTACCACCAGGTGATGTGTTATTTTTAATCACGTTTCAAGTTTAAAAACGGTCATTAAACACATTGTAAAAATGTTATTACATTCTCCACTTAACAAACAGCAGAAAGCTGATCTCAAGAAGTCTTAAAGGTGAAAATATGCAATATTGGTACATTATTTTCAATGGGCGAGGTGGAGAGCTTTTTATTCGGGAGTCTCTTCCCCCCTCCCCCCGTTTTCTTTTAGCCATCCTCGAAACTCAAATTGGGGTAGGAGGTTCTACCTTCACCCAGCATCGGTAAGGTTCGGTAAATTTTAAATATTTGTTGACATGGAAGCAGATCTATAATGCATGTATGAAGTTGGTTAAGTCTGTGTTCAACGCACAAGTCAGAATTTAATATATGATTCTGATGATTATTTACGACTGTTGTTGCTATACATATTTATATCTCCTTAAACAACCACCCATGCGATAATTGTTTACAGATAAGTCTACCATGCCATCTAGTTCCCAGGAAATATCTGCACGCAATGTCTTTTCTTCAGTTTTTTTCCCCATCGTCCTCTGAGTAGTTTTTGGCATACTGTACTATGCCTGTTCAATTGTCACTTGCTGAACTATTATTATTGTACACCTACGTACAAGATTATAACCGACGATGTGTTTCAAATTTAAATACGATCATTGAATTGTTAACATGGTTTGCAGTAGTTTGATTGACAATCCTAAAGGTTCACTAATTATTTTGGCGTACTTATTTATAATTGGGAAGAATATTTACAATTAACAATATAACGAAGTGTAATATTTATTGATGCAAATTGCATTCTAAATATCTGCACAGACGGTTATTAAACTTCGTTTTTAGTTCGATTTTCCACAATTTTCGTCTGATTAGTTTAAATATTTGTTTGACATACTTAATGAATACAGTTGAATAAGTTGACTTGAATAAGTTGACTTATTGTTCAGTTGTCACAGTAAAATATACTTGCATCTACGTACAACACTGCCACTAGACAATTAGTTATTTTTCTTCACATTTCAAAGTTAATTGAACATTGAATACATATCGTAAACATGCGCATTCCTAGACTCAAGAAGTCCTGATTGGTCTGTGGCAGTGTGATTGAATATCCCAAAGGTCCACTGCTTATTTTTGATTATTAAGTGTAATATTTTATACTCAAAGTACATTCTAATAAATATTAAACAAGAAATATTTCCTATAAAAAAGCACTGCAACGTTTTTACCTTTTCAATTTGTTTATACAGGCAATTCCAATTTTTTTTTGTAAGTGTAACATGAATTTTGTTGATGTTTTAATTTCATTTCCGATAATACCATGAAATTTAAATTACCGTATTTACAATTGTGAATAAATTAATCAAAAGTGTATTTTTGTTTAGTGTAATTTGGTTTTTATTGTCAAGTTAATTCCAAAGGGTTTAGCCTATAACGAGATATTTTAATAATGTTTTAGATTCATTTCCGATATACCATGACATTTAAATTACCGTATTGATTGCCTCAATTCTTTCATGTGGATGTTCATTGTAGTATTTCGGCATTAATTTTGATTAATTTTATTTTTTTTGTTTGTAATTTTTAACATTATTTTTATTTACTGTTGCTAACTGACCAAGGTGTAGTGGTAAGTTAATTAATTACGTTGATAACCTTAAGAATAAGATGTTTCATTATCAGCTTTTGCAGGTCCATTGCTGGACACAACATTCTCAGCAAGTTGACGCCAAATCAATCTCATCTCTTCATCTTTGACGTTGTCTTCCCTTGTTTGCCATCTATGGGGGAATCCATCCTGCTATTGTTTATTTTATTTTATTTATTTATTTATTCGAATTTACACAGGCAAAAATACAATAAAATATCAATGAAATAAAAGATTGCCGGTGACGGGAAAAGGCCAATAGGTAGACAAATTACACCTCCGGTATCGGCCGATCCCGAATTGCACAGAACAAGATATAAAATCAATATAAGTTTTAAAATATAACACTAAAATTTGTAAAAGGAACTGAAGGCATAAAACAACTAATAAAACAATCTCAAAGAGAAGCTTTGAGGAATTGCACATAGTTGTGAAAAATTTAAATTGGGCGACATTTGGCACAGCGACAACATGACAGCCAGCTGCAAACATTATTTACATTAAACTTATTTAAAAAGAGATCGTGATAAAATAATTTAACATTTTGCTTAAAAGTGTTCGTAGTTGGGCTGTTTCTAAATGTAAGAGGAAGGGTATTCCACATGGGTACAATGCGGTTAAAATAATATAGTTTGTGAGACTCAGTGTTGCATTTTTCAATAATTAAATCATTGTCAGTTGAAATTGTGACCTGATCAGTCATTTCATTGAATCGAATGAAGTTCCTGACATCGAGGTAAATATTAAAATTTAGGCATTTGTAAAAAAAAGTAAGATTTAAATATTCTCTTCTGTATGATAAGGGCAAAAGATTAAGTAACGAAAGTCTTTCATTGTAATCGCAATCTGGGTAATGCAATATAAATTTCGTTGCTTTTCGTTGAACCCTCCAAACGTTGCAAGTTGCATTTGGAGGTGCCACTCCATAGAGGGCTAGCATATTCTAAATCAGGCCGAATTAAAGCAGTGTAAAGTGTTTTAGTGACATTGATAGGAGCTGCTTATCCCACTGCACGCTTGATCATTCCCAGTATGCGGTTACATTTGGAAACAATATTTGATACATGATTGTCCCTTTTTAAAACACCATTGATCTCAACACCAAGATCTTTGATACTATAAGTTCTAAAGAGGGGTGTACCGTTCGTATTGTTATTACAGTATATAAAATGGGATTACGTTTCCGCGTAATAGTGATAATTTGACATTTGGATGGGTGAAAGCAAAGATCCCAGGTTTTGCTCCATTTGTATAAGGCATAATGTCCTCCTGTAGATGCTTCCAGTCGTTAGCATCATTGATATCCTTGATGCATTTCGAATCGTCTGCAAACAGAGCTACAGTGGAATTATGGACAGCACTGGGCAAGTCATTAATGTACAGAAGAAAAAGAAGGGGTCCGAGGATAGACCCCTGAGGGACCCCCGAAGTAACGGGTAACCAGTCAGAATATGACCCTTCAACGACGGTTCGTTGTTGTCTGTTACAGAGATATGCCTGTAACCATCGATGAAGATGAGATCGATGAGTGGATACCGTAAGACTTTAATTTATGTAAGAGTAATTGATGGGAAACGCTGTCAAAAGCTTTAGAGAAATCAAAGTAAATAAGGTCAACTTGCCCAGCCCTGTCCAGAACCCCGCTAACTTTGTCAAACACAGTTAGGAGCTGAGACACTGTAGACCTTCCACGGATAAATCCGTGCTGTAAATCATAAAAATAACTCTTGAGTTGAATAAAAATTGCATTGTAAATCAGCCTCTCAAGCACTTTACTAGACACACAGAGTAATGAAATTGGTCGGTAGTTAGTCACGCCGTTTTTATCGCCCTTTTTAAAGACAGGAACTACATTTGCCTTCAACCAGTCTTCGGGTAGCTCACCGGTGGTCATGTATAAATTGAATATAGAACATAGTGGTGAACAAAGTTGTTCAGCACAGTTCTTAAGAACGAACCGGAGAAATACCGTCAAGACCAATTGCTTTACTGGTATCGAGTTTTACAAGGATTTCAAAAACATCATTACCATGGAAATCAATACAGTATTTACCTAAACCTAAAAGATGCTTGTTTGGGATGATTACATCAGGTAAAACACGAAAGCAAAAATCTTTGGGCTTAGTGAAAATAGAGTAGAAGAAACTATTAAACAGAGATGCCCGATCCATGGCGTAAGAAGCAGTTACACTATTAAAATGCAGTATTTTGGGCAAGGATTTTGATTTAGTTTTGTTCTTTTAAGAGGCTTAATACTTAACTACAATTTATATGCCATGAAATGCTTGCACCTATAGGGCTAACATAACCTCAGCCACTTGACAGCCTGTCAACAATGCAATTTGGCGTATCATGTACTAGTTCAAAAACTAGAATGAAAACCACTGAGCCAAACCGCATTTTTACCTTTATTGTTATTAAAATTATTGTTATTAAAATTATTATTATTATTATTATTATTATTATTAATAATAATAATAAATATAATAATAATGATAATGATAATAATAATAATAATAAATATAATAATAATGATAATAATAATAATAATAATAATAATAATAATAATAATTTTTTTAAATTATTATTTTATTTATTTGTTTTCATCCCCCTTCCCCACTAGCTTGGCTAGGACCTTCTCTACTTATTACTGGCGTCAGTGTGTGGCCATTTTTACGGGTCGATGGAGCATGGGTACCGTACGGTATTTCGATAATGCTAATAATTAATGTTAAAGCAGGAAATACAACAGAAATATACAGAAAGTGCATGTCAAACGACGCTTATAGCCCATGGGTTTGGCTAACAACGTTTTCAATAGGAACAATGATCAACCATGCATGGTTTAGACGTACAATCGCATGTACACCTAACAGGTCAAAGAATATGAAGGGAGTCTAGACCTGTCATCTGGCCCATCTCCAACATACCCAAAATAGCTCTAATGTACATTTTGTGATCCACCCTACCATTAACAATTATTCAAACACGCATCACTGAATTTAAGAACATAATATATAGAAATTACGACCACTATACCATACACATTCGATCGATTACTTGCCGTAGATGCACACTAATAATTCTCGTAGGAATTATTTTCTTTTCTAATAATATATCGTCTGATGCAAAATCTTCAATACTCATACAGCAATGGCGATCAGTAAACACCATTTGGTGTACATTATGATTGTCGGGGTTTGCTGTTTAAACTTGACAGAGGCGGAAACATTTATCTACGGAGAAATAACAGAAGATACCAATTTTTCGTCGGCTGACAGTCCAGTGTATGTGACCGAAAATGTAACAATTGTGACAAATGTAACACTGACCATCCAGGCAGGAGTGCAGATGATGCTTGCGGAAGGTGTTGGTATTTACGTCGAGGGAACTTTGATCACAAATGGAACTAAGGACCAACACGTTGTAATGACTAGTTTTGGAAATTCAACATTTTCGAGTGACAGATGGCACGTTAAGTGGTCACATGTGCGATTGGTCGATGGAAGTAGCCCCCTTGAAGGACGGGTTCTGGTGTATATGAATGGTAGATGGGGAAGAGTGTGTGTAAATTCACAAAATTATGTAAACGTTGCATTGGTTGTGTGTCGTCAACTTGGATACGAAGGCGGATTTTATGGATGGTTTGGAAGTGGACAGGAACCAATTCACTTTAATATCATATATTGTGATTCAACAGAGGATACCATTTTTGATTGCTTGAACAGAAGATACGATGACTGCTGTAAGTTTATATTCCCTTAATAATTAGAAATAACTTGAGACAATTAATGTAGCTCTAAACAATGATTATTAGGCCTAATTACGTTACATCTTCTTTATCAATTTTCATTTTATACCGTACTGCATAGCATTAAGTTAGTTCAGGGATGGCGCCAGGATTTGCCCAACGGGGAAGGGGGAGTCCGAGGCGCTCTACGCATTTTCCCCTTCCATAAACCCACCTTGCCAACTGAACTGCCGTGCCAAAATTATGTAGTTTCTACTAATGCGCTAACATTTTGCGTTGTCGTAAATATTTAGGGGTTTCAAAGGCTTATTTAATCGATTTTAAAGTGAACTAATATGTAAAAAATACATATAATTTTGTTTTCTCCCCAACGAATATTAGTTTTTGTTCCCGACGTGGGGAGGGGAGCAGTTCTTCCCGACGGGGCCCTGACGCCCGGTCCCCAGTGGCACCACCTCTGAGATGGTTAAAACTCGTGGCAAGAACTGTATGTGCGCTAAGCCACTAAGATTTTTACGTCTCTTATTCTATTCCATCATTCTGGTGGCCATTCAAAAATACGGATTATATCACGTAATTTTTCTATTAAAGATTCTTCTAAACGTATTATAGTAGTTTTTAGAATTTACAAAAAAGAGCAGGAGGGGATTACCTTCCGGTCCTGTATAATTTACTAACAGGGTGACCACTAGTCCCAAGGGCCCAATTAATTCCAATGCTTTAATATACATTTTTCACCCTTTACCTTCATAATTGCATTGCCTTCACAATTGCATTACCTTACAGTACTTTTATTTTACATTATTTTACTTAGCCTCGCTTGACCTCACCAACCCACACTTTAATTGATCTTTTTATTGACCTTGCAGTACTGTAACTTACTTTATCTTATTACCTCACCCCACCCCACACTACCGTACCTTCAGCCATCTTAAAAATAAAAGTCATTTGTAAAAATAATTAATAGTTATTAAAAAAATCATTTATTTTAAATTCATACAGATGGAAACAATAATTTCGGAGTCGTTTGTAATCAACCAATTATTCAAAATGTTACTCTACCAAACAACACTTATTGGGCTGGTCTAAGGTGGCTAAAAGGCGGAATGCAGGAAACCCATAGCGTTATAAAATACACGGACATTTCACATGCTGGAGTGGACGCAAATGGTGAGGCGGGCAATCCTGCGATTTATGCTAATTCAAGAAAATTACCAAGTTTGTCAAATGTTATTATTGTTGATTGTGCTGGGTCAGGCGTAAGATTCTCAAGCATAATTTCTGATATCAATGTCAAAGATGTTGTTGTCAGAAGTAATCTTGGTTATGGAATTGAAATGTCAACTTTGGGACCAATTTCAATAAATAATTCTGAATTCAATGAAAATAAGTTTGATGGTATTGCGATATTTAATGTAGATTATAGCAATCTAAGGTTGGAAGACCTATGTAATGAAGAAAGTGACGACCTATTTATCGACGCGTTCGAATATAGATATATATATAAATCATCAGCAAATTACTACAACCAGCCTTGTCAAAGTGTAAGTATTCATTTTGTTTGTAGGTGAAGTATAGAATAAAATAAATATAGCTTTTAATTTAAATTATATACAATTTTTGTTTAGAGCTTTAGAAACAATATGTTTTGCTAGATTAATGATCTCAAACTAGGTTGTACTGTTTAGAGTTTTTTTTTTGGTTGATAATTTTTGTTTCTATAACTTGCCTAGACAACCAGTATTTTTTATTTTCATCATTATGGCACGGTAGGCATGATGTTTCATGTTTTTTTTTATCATTCTTTTATTTCATCTGAATTAAAAAGAAAAAAGAAAGCACAACAGAATTTCAAACGTATAGCATGACACATTTTTTTTTTCTAATCATAGACAGGTAAGAAATATTGTGGAACAAAATGCATGAACAACAATACGAAGATGGACATTATTCTTATCGTTTTTGTAAAGTTTTGAAACAGTAAGACTACTGAGTGATTGTCGCTGTTGCCTTATGCCAGTTGGCGCAGTGTGGATGAGAGCCCTAAAGATAATTGTCAGAAAGAAAAATTTGTCAATAAAAATTATGACTTAAAAATTTTGTTTCGTCAAAATGTTCAATACTATTATAGCTAGAAACTGATCTACCTTGATTTAAATTGATCTTGAAGCTAAAGCATTAATACTTACATACTGTTTAAACTTCTGGTGGTGATTTAGCCAGTGTTTCTTAAGTCTTGCTTTGAATTGATTAATTGTTTGTGAATCCAAAGTTTCAACTGACAAGCTATTCCACAAAAACGTTGTTCTCCCCACTTAGTTTTAACCCTCAGTTTCTTTAATTCTAGTGAATGTCCCCTATAGTAAGTGCAGCTGACGGCAATTCAAAAAACGTACCAACTCCCAACTTATCAAAGCCATTACAAATTTTAAAAACCTGAATAATAGATGCTCTCTTCCATCTATAAGTTAGTGTTGGAAGATTTAGTCTTGTTAACCTATTCTCATAATCCTGTCCCGGAATAAGTCGAGTAGTTTTTTTGTTTTAAAGTTTCTAATCTATCTTCATCTAGGAACCCAAACATTATTACAATATTCCAATGGTGGACGAATCAGTGGCTTGTAGAGTAACAAAATCTATTTGAATCCAAATGCTTAAATGAATTATTCCCAATTTATCATTTACCATAAAATTACATGTGAAATGTGAGACAGGAAATTCAATTTATTATCAATAACAATGCCAATATTCTTCATTTCGCTTACAGCTTCTAGCTCAATCCTGTGTTCACCTTCACTAATGCATTACTTAAAATTATTTTTTTATATCTAAAATGCATAATCCTACACTTCATCTACTTAAAAGGTAGTTGCCACATTTTTGACCATTTTTTAAAAATAAAGAATCAATATCACTGTGTAATTTTATACTATCTTCAATATAGTTTACACTTATATTTCTTGTATCATCTGCAAAAAATTTAATTTTAGAATATTTAACAGAATCAGGATTAACATTAATGAAGACCAAAAATACGACATGATCTGAAACACTGCCCTATGGAACTCCACTAACTACTTATTCCCATTCAAATTTAATCCCTTTTACTACAACATGCTGCTTTCTTCCAGACAGAAATAATCCAATCCAATTTAACAGTTTACCTTCTACTCCATATGCTTTTAACTTGGACAATAATCGAACATGCAGAACTTCATCAAAGGCTTTTTTAAAGTCTAAATATAAACAATCAAAACAATCCTGGGTATCCAATGAATTTTTGCCAATCGGTCAAAACCTCTAATTGTTGGATAAAACACGATATGCTGAAACCATGTTGGGCATCAGAAACAAAAAAGAATTTCGTTCAAAATGCTTGATAATTTCATCTCGAACAAATGTTTGCATGGTCTTACACAAATTAGATATTAGGCTATAATTTAATCCTGGCATATTTATTATGAGGTTGTCAACACCTTCAATTTATTTAGTGTTCTTATGGAGATCAATCAAATTCAATTTAAATTTTCACATAATATTTTCAGACATTTTTCACCAAGGAAGGGTACATACTGAAGGTGAGAATTGTGGAACATAATTGGCGTATTCGACTGAGGTTTTATGATGGAAACGACACTTCAACCTTATTACAAACAGTTACAAGTTTAGAAGACGAGGCTTTAATATCAGTGTCAAATGTGATGACAATTCGGTACGAATGTCCTTACTATAATAACTACCGGTACTGTCTTGACTACACTTTCAAATTCATCATTTGGAGTGAGCGTACCGGTAAGTATTGTACTGTAGTTTCTGTTTTATTCACTGTAAGTACTAATAAATACCGCTACTTAATTTGTCTAAGGAATATTCCTACATGATACAGTTAGCATACTGTTGCTTTTCCAAAAGCTAAAATAAATATGCCTAGCCTAGATGTGTCGTTATGATAATATAATGTTATTTTATTACTATTATTATGCTTTTAACAACAAACATAAACCGTTATAATACGTTATTTAGCTCTTTATACTTTCTATTCAAATTTCAGCAATGATTGCATCGAATGAAATTAGTCATACGACTTTAACTGACAACAAGGGGAACGGGTTGACCATTCATACGTATATGTTGGAGCTAAACATTATTGACTTGACAGCGATATACAATCGTGGAAATGGACTGCAAACGCATGACAGAATAAATGAACTCGTTGTGGCATCAAGTAACTTCACTGGAAATTCATTTAATGGAATTGACGTTTACAATATCGTCAACATGTTTATCGACACATCATCTGTTAATGGAAATGAAATGAATGGCATGATTTCGGGAAAATATACTTATCTTACTCTTCAGAACAGTGTGTTTGATAGCAACTTAGAAAATGGCTTCTTTATAAACGATGGACGATATAATGATTACAGTTACAGTTACAATCTGCATCTTGAAAATAATTCGTTCTCGTATAATGGAGGAAGTGGTATCTTCAGGAGAGAATATTATCAATATTTGAATATATATATCCATGGGAATTCCATTAGATATAATCAGAATGGGGCGATTGATTTTGGGCCTATACGATCACGTGGTATCAAAGTATTGGAAAATGACATATCTTTTAATGTGGGCTATTACCTGATATATTTAGATGTTACACATCATTATTATTCATACGTAAGAGAGGAAATGACAATTGTGTCGAACGTATTCTTCAATAACTCTTGTGAACGGCTATTATTTCTTGGCACATTATCTTCTTCCGACAGCATAGTCGTCGAAGAAAACGTATTAAAGAACAACCAGCCGAGATTAAGATTTTTAAGTTCTGTTTGGACGTCGTCTGTCGTATTTCTACGTTCGGATAGCGTCTCTATGAAAAACAACATATTTGACAATCCTAATTTTATGTACGAAGTCTCTGTTCCAGGCCGAAATAAATTATCGACAGTATCAATAAACGCTAGTCTGTCATGGTGGGGCTCTACAGACTGTTCCTTCATCAACTCACGTATTCTAGATGGAAAAACGCGTGTTTCATATCCTGTAGTGGAAATCTCGCCGTATCGTGTTGGGTATAATTTTTCAGACTTAGATTATCGATCATGTATGCAATTGGGGTTCATTCGTGAGCGAGTATCAACAATAGGTGGCAGTATAACAGGTAACATCACATTAACTTCTGCCGACAATCCATACAGAGTGGTTCATGACATTGTCATACAACCTGAAGGTACCTTAGTTCTTGAAGCAGGTGTTAAGTTGTTGTTTGACTTCTATACTGGAATACTGGTTCACGGAACACTTATTGCCGAAGGAAACATCACGGATGTGATAAGGATGGAACCGTTTGACAGTTCTAATGAAACTATTCAATTGATTCGATTATCTGGAGGAAGTTATCCATGGGAAGGTATTCTAGAGGTCTCCATAGATGGTCAATGGGGCTCCGTCTGCTACAACAACTACTATTGGTATCATATATGGAATAATATTGCTTCTCGTATAGCTTGTCGGCAACTTGGATATACAGACTACATTAGCTATACGACCGGAACATCTACTCTGTTAGACATCCTAGACACTTTCAATTGTGATGAACGCATTCATTCGAATATTGTGTATTGTGGTTTCAAGAATCCCTCGTATTCATGTTCTTCTAACAGTAAAGTATATTTAACATGCAATCCCGGAAGATGGCAAGGTATTCGATTTGCCCTTTCACCTAAACGGAGTTCAATGATTCACACACACATTCGCTTAACTGGAGGCAATTTCCAAGACTTCAAAATCTACTCCAATGCAGCTATTCAAGTAGACCTTCACCACCATCATTTCTTTAGTATTAATTTATATAATGTAAATCAGGGATTCATTTTCTACATCGATAATCCAATCTTGAACGTTGATTCAGTATTGAATACGCACATCAATTGTTCTAGATCTGGGTATGGCGTTTCCATTTATTCCCCATCATATTACCACGATCAGGCGATCATTGAATGTGCAACTGGAATTTACCTATCAACCATGTCTTCCACTCATTTAGAGGATATTCGGCATTACACTCACAAAAGTTCCGTACTAAATTATTTTGAATCTGACCAATCAGTATTCTTCTCTGATTTACTCGTTCTGGACATTCTACCACCAGAGGAAATCTATTATACCCATACTAGAAATTTCACCGTACAGCCCGGCAACATTATCGCAATCTATGTATATCAACAATACTTTTATTTCTACGAATCGTTGGTTTTCACTGACACACCAAATGGAGACACCTTACTGACACTTAATTCCACAATGTCAGGGATATTTCCAGATCATCAGCTGGTTCAAACGTCATCAAACCTTCTGACTGTCACATACAAAAATACTTACCGATACCCTCGGATAAACGCCGGTATTTTGCTCCTCTCTTTAAAAGGTGAGTTTCTTTATACTAATTTGTGTTATTTGTACTAATTGTTATACTGTATTTCTTGAACCTCAAGGACTAAATTATATATTTTATTCTTTTATTAGAATCACCAACAGGTGCAGTACAAAGCAACGCAAATACAATTGTATTGGATTCAGTCAATATACATTCTCCTAGTGGTTATGGGTTAAGAATGCATTCCAATCCAACTAAATCGGAATTGAGAGTCATGAACTCGAACTTTCAAGGTAGTGGGGGATATAGCGGTACTCTTGTGTATTTGGGTTATGGCCATGGTGGACGCGTTCTTTTTGAGCGATGCAACATGTCATTTGCTTATTATGGTTTTATAATTGATGGTACCATTGAGACCATTTCTATTCGTGACTGTATTTTCAAAGACATTTACTATGCCATTGATGATTATAACTATTTTACCTCTGCGACACTAAGTATTGAGGATTGCACATTCAATTCGGCAAGGTACCATATATACAAATACGCACGTTCAATAGATCAAATCACACGTGTATATAGATCGTCATTTAGTGGTTCGACATATGGAATTCGGTTTAACCATCATGTGCATAACATCTTACTTGAAGGCTGCAATTTCCAATCGATGTCGTATGGTGTGCACATTTACACACATTATTATTATTCATATAATAATAACGCTTCAGTATACTTACATGATATCGGTTTTCAATCCGTGAGGCAACCAGTGTATGTAGAAATGTATCCCACATACAGTTCAAACTCAAACGAAGAATGGATTGACTTATGTGTCAGTGATTGTGTAGTTGAAGTTAGTGATGTCTTTCTGGAAACGTATATTTTTACGGAGACACTGAATATTAAAGTTAGTGTGATGAACAATACAGTAATGTACAGTAAACAAGCAATTTTGATGACAATTAACAAGAATTATTTAATCGACAATTTAGTGTATCTAGTTGACATTGTAAACAATACCATAAGTAACAACACGGGTGATGATGCTATTATTGATATTGGTAGAGAATTTCCAGTACTAATGACAAACGCAGTGCAGGTTGACTTCAGGAATAATGTTATCCAGCACAATATTGTGACAAGATCACATTTTTTGAGTAAGTTTTCATGCGGGTTAATATTGGGTGTTCGCACAGCAACCTTGTTTGGAAATGTCTTTGATAACGCTGGAATCGATATGGAGATCTGTAGTGCGCATGTCTTTATTGACCCGGACCATTTCATCGATGCCCGATCCAACTGGTGGGGAACAAGTGAGCACATTAACGTTCGCCAGAGAATTTTCGATAATGAAGATTGGAACAACCTTGCATACATAATGACTAGATCAACCAGTGACAACATCATTTACGACAAATGCAATTCCTCGAACATTGGTGGACGAATTAATGCTACTTGTCATCTTAATGTCGCAAATAGCCCGTATGTAGTCGAATCTGACATTACAGTCCTACCGAATGCAGAATTGATCATAGACCCTGGTGTAACTTTATTTTTGAATGAGGATAATGGAATCACTATTCTTGGAAAACTAACAGCAGTAGGAACCTTAAGCAGCAGAATAACATTTATGCATAACAATACAAAAAATACAAAAGATAAAGACAAGATACGTTTGATACAAGGTAATAGTCGTGTGCAAGGCGTGCTCCAAGTCTTTACAGACGGTGAATGGAAATCGGTCAAAAGATATCATTTCGGACAGGAAGAAGGCGAGGTTGCATGCCGTCAACTTGGTTATTCGTATGAACGGTATACATCCTCAGCTACTGATATAAACTCTGAGTCATACTTGTCTCGACGATGGTATTGCAGTGGACACGAATTGAGTTTATTTGATTGTTCATATGTCAACCGTTATTATTCTTGGTACAGCGAAGTATGGCTGGTTTGTAAATATTCAAACTGGGGAAATATTCAAGTGTATACAGATTCAGATTCAGAAATATCTGCCATACAATACGTTGATGTATTGAATACTGGGAAACTGCATGGTCTTGACGGTGTTCCTGCAATATATGCGTTCGGACCACAGATTCCACTAATTGAAAACATCCATATTGAGAACTGCAATGGACATGCAATTTTAATCGATAGTACAGCAGCGCTTACTATTACAGGAATTACTTTGATACAGTGTGGGTTAGGTATATCATCTAGAATATATTCTGCGACTAATGTTCATGAATGTTATTTTGACGACATATACACAACTGGTTTGAGTTTAACTACGAGAATAGCGAGTTTTTTTCCATCGCAATCATTATTTTATACGCAAGGATGTGGAACGCATCGAAATGTGAATCCAGGTGACCAATTTGTACTTCGTGACAATGCATGTGGAAATATAAACTGTATTAGCGTGTTTCAATGCAGGCAAAATTGCACAATATTTGTGACATTTACGCATTATTACAGTTACAGGAGGTATAGGAGGACTGCTTACGTTTATGATGGAAACTCGACCGATTCTACTCGTATTGGGGAAATACATTATTATAGGGCTGAGACGTTGACGTTTATGGCTACATCAAACGCAGTAACCTTAGAAATAGATTATTTCACCACGTCATATGGCAATTGTCGTGTTGATTACGAACCAGTGGAGATACATCTGTCGGTGTACGACAAAGGTAAGTTACCGTACAAGCTTGGTTGTGGTTGCAGTGGTTAGGCTTCGGTCTTTAAAAATCTCGAGTTCTAAGTTTAATTTCTACGCTGTTAATTTGCATATGAAAATGTAATAAATTTATATACGTTTTTCTACTCAATAGTTTAAATGGGTAAGTAAATAGGATTTGCCCCAGAGAGTGCAGCAAGCTGTATAGTGTGAATGACTGTTGCTGAAGAAATAAGATACATATCCATTATTTATTATTATTATTATTATTATTATTATTATTTATTATCGTTATTATCGTTATTATTATTATTATTATTATTATTATTATTATTATTGTTGTTGTTGTTGTTATTGCTATGATTATTATTGTTATATCCGCAAGGAGGTTGTATTTTCATTCGATTTTTTTGTGTCTGTGTGTGTGTGCTCGTCAGTTTGTTAACATCCTCATGGCTACAGTTTTAGATCTATGTGCGACATATTTTCACTGTTGGTTTCTGTCAGTGAAGGGAAGGTTCCATTTTATTTTGTTGACAATCCAGTTTAAAGAAAAACACTTTACAATAGATATGTCAAAAACTGACCTACTGATCAGTAAGAAACCTTTTGAAAGTGTTAACTAAGCTAAAAATAGCAAAGAAAATCAAACAGTAGCCGGGATGTGATAAAAATAAACAACATATGTAAAAGAATGTAATAATATAATAAAAGGTAATAAAAAAAAAGGGGAAAAAAAGAATGGTAACCGAAAGAATGATGTTAGTGGTGCTGAATGTATAATTGCTAATGATGCCGAGGTCTTTGTTAAGGCCAAAGAGGTGGGTTTTGTATTTGAAAATATATTTGAGTTTATTAATTTTTCTGTCTGAATGAGACTTGACATTACCGGCGATAATGGCACATTTAATGTTGTTGATACTATGGTTAGGGGCATTGAAATGCTCGGCAACATGGAATTTGGGGAGATTGTTGCGGATAGAGGACTTGTGTTTTTTAATTCTAGTACGAAATTTAGTGCTGGTCTCGCCTATATAATGAACAGTGGGGCAAATATTGTAGGTAATTAAGTAAATGACATTAGAAGAATTGCAGTTGAAAGGAGGTGGATGAATGGTATGTTTGCTATTAGGAATTTCAATGTTGCTGTCAGTAATATTTAAATGGTTAATTATTAGTCTCCGTCCTCATTACAAACTGTTTATTTGTATACCCAATTTTATTGACTCTCATTATAATCCGTATTGTTTATTCTTCAACTCATCTCACTACAGTGGTTATGTGTGTCCACTTTTTGCTAGTTTTTTTCCTTGATAAAAACCTGAGGATAGGTCGAAATATTGGTTTTCTCCAATAAAGTGTTTCTAAAGTGTATACAGTACATGGTATTCGTTTCCTAAATTCTTTTGTTATCGTACCGAAACACACGTGGAACCTCACAATGTTTTATGTATGTATGTATGTATGTATGTATGTATGTGTGTATATGTATATGTATATATATGTATATGTATGTGTGTATATATGTATATGTATGTGTGTATGTATGTATGTATGTATGTATGTATGTATGTATGT